ACAGCCCCCAGCCAGGCTCCCTTCTGGCAGCAGAGTCCCACTGGGCCAGTGTCCCAGCCCGGGAGCACATGGAACTCCCTTCCATGCCTGACTGCACTGACCGTGCTACTTGTTTTTCTTCCAGGACTTAGGGACATCACAGACACAGATGCCACCCTGCTGTATATACGTTTTTACAGTTGTTGTGTTCAGGATAGAGGTTTTAGAGTTTAAGTTTTCTGTAAATACGTTTCATAGAGTTTTGTTAGATCTGTTCTTAGGTAAATAGGTTCTATAGTTTGTTGCTGTTGTTGTTCCCAGTATTCTTACAATGTAAATATGTTGTGTAGTTCATTCTTGTTCCTTTTCTTCTACAAATAAACATTCTTTGATTTTCACACCCCAGTTCTCTTTGCCTTTTCTTTGGGTGTTATAAACGAGGCTCGAGACTTTTTGGTGTAATTAAAGCCTGGCCTGTTTATTAATACTGAGCTGCAGCCGAAGGGAGACACAGGCTAGTCCCGTGTGCTCCACGCTACAGACCGGGACAGTAACAATGTATCGAACAAAACTTACGAACAACAACGGAGAAAAAACCCCACAAGAAAAGAAAGAAAAAGCCCCGCTAACATGTAACACCCTGTTTTATATCCTCCCTTAGGCTTGGATTGGTCCGTTTTGGATCCGTCTCAGGATTGGCTGTTTTCTTGGGCTTTGATTTGTCCATAGCCATGTTCATCCTGGTCCAATCATTTTCCTAGGGCGTCAAATGATTGGTGGATATTTCTTCCAATCCTCACTCACTCTGCTGATGACATCATGTTCCTGAATGTTCCATTCCATGTCCCCATAAGCCCTTTTATATCTCTTACCAATCCCCCATTTTATCCGCCCAACCCCCAATCCAATACCAACCCCGAACATTCTAAAATACACTCAACAATTATCTTAACAATATTACAACATAATTAAACATATCAATTAACTCTCTAACAGTAACAACTTTAATTAACCTCCCAAGTTCAAGGAAAAGATCCCTTATAACATGGGCACATTTGCAAAGTTGTGGATTGTTTTGGGAACAATGTTTGCAGGACTCTAAAAAGAGTATCAAAACCGCTCTGCCACACTCTCAGCTGCTGCTGCCCCAAAAAGCACTGGCTCTCTTTGCTCACAGAATCACAGTTGTGGTGGGATTTCTACCACACCAGAGGACAGCGATGTTTTTCCTTTTCTCCTGGAAATATCTACAGCACTCGTGGGTAGCAAGGCAAACATGAGCCTCTTTTAGTGGCCCTTGAAATTGGACATGTGAAATGAGGTACACAAAGCCACAGGCCAGCTGAACCTGGCATCTCTGAATGACTCTTCACATTCTTCCCAGGAAGATGAATGGCAATCACTATTTTGGCAGGGAGGAAAGTGCATCAGCTGGCAATTTGGTGTAGAAAATGTGCTTTCTGCTGCTCTCAGAGCCAAAACTCCTACCCATTTCTTGGAAGTCCTTCTTAGATAAGGACCGTGTTCAACTGAGTGACAGTGAAGCCAAATGGCAATCCCGGAATCAATTGGCCTGTACACAATCTCCTCCATCCACGTGGAAGGTTACTCACAGGCACACAGGAGGAAGGAAGAAACCTAAATGCATCATTGGACTTAAAGTCAGATGTGTTGAGGGATGAAGAAATCTTGCAGAGATATGGAAAGCTGCCCTGAAAACCCAGTTCGGGGAGAGCCTGAGCTCTTTTGTGCTTCTAGGCCTGAAGATGCCCAGGATCTTTCCCAGATGCTCAGCAGGCAGTAGGATTGTGCCTGAATCTGGCTCTGGAAATGCCAGTGCCTCAACTGAGAGCTGTGGCAATGATTTCCATTGCATGGAGAGGGGCCACAGTCCTGCAAGAGTCTTTCAGCAGAGCAAACAGCAGCCTGGAGGGAGGGCAATGCTGCATCTGTACCACTGCATGCTCATCCTTCACCACAATGCAGAGCTGCCCCCAAAGCTGCCATGGATTACTTTTTCGATTTCTCCTGTTGGATATAATTTGGAGAAGTTGTTCTAGGTGGCTTTGGATGGTGATCCTGTAGGAAGCAGCCATTCGCCTGCTGTGATATCCTTACAAGTAATCCTAACTTCTCATTGCCTTTGGTTTGATTTGGGGTTTTTTAATCTGTTTGTTTGATTGGTTTCTTTGGGTTGGTTTGTTTGTGTTTTTGTCTCTATTGGTTTGAGTTGTTCTCCTTTTTTACAAATGACTGGTGAAGTTGGCACAGCAAAACTCCAGAAAACGTAAACCAAGCCAGACTTTCCAGAAATTGCTTTTGGCTGGCTTTAACTGCATTCCCCAGGATCACAATCAGCAGTAGATATTTGCAGGTTTTGCTCTGCATCATCAGCCTGCCCAGATGTTGTTCAGTGTTTCACCAGTGGAGAAGACAATGGATATTTTGCCAAACCTCCTTTCAAACAACAAAACTTGGGTTAGCACGACAGAAAAGAAGAAAAGAAAATATTCCCCACTTAGAACAGAGCCAGAGTCCCACCATTTCTCCCTCCACTTTTCTTTCTTTTCTACATTTAGAGGCAAATCTCCAAAAGCTTCCATCTCCCACTTCATGATGCCATTTGCTACCCTTTAGCCTTGACCCCCACGCATCTGACTGCTGTCCGTGTGGGGCTGGGGATGCTCAGCCTGGAAAGAGAAGGGGGCTGGGGAGGCCTCCCTGCAGCTCTAGGAAAGATGGGCACAGAGAGGAGAAGCCTTTCAACTGCAGGAGTGAGCTTGAAGTTGGATCTAATGAAGCTGCTCTTTTCCACTCAGGCTGCTGGGGCACTGGCCCAGGCTGTGCACAGAGGCTGGGGATGCTCCATCCTTGGCAACATCCAAGGCCAGCTGGGAGCGGGGCTCTGAGCAACCTATTCTGGGGGAAGATTGCTCCGCTTGGAACAAGATGGTCTTTAGGGTCCCTTCCAAGCCCAAGCACCCAGGGATTCCATCATTCTATGGTCTCCGTTGTCCACTTCAGCCTGGGCCTGAACTCCTGGCGGTGATGTCACAGTGCACGCTCCAGCTAGAACTTCCAGCATCCAGCAACGGCCACGACACAACCCTTGGCTCCTTGTGCCAGCACGCTCTTCACCCTGCTCCAAGGCTACCCCTGTCACCTTGTTGCCACCTGCTCCCTGATTCCCCCAGCAGTCCCCAAAGCTCCCCATCGCTTGGAT